GGTTAATGATGTGCAGCAGAGCTTGTCTTTGCCCTTTTGAGAATTTTGGAAGGCGAGGGGACTTCTTGAATCATTCCCACCCTAACCACACCTAAAGGAGAAAAGACACGAGAGAGACAAATTCGAAACCTTTTGTTTCATTCTGATGTGATCTTGGAAAGGAAGACAGGTTCTCCCTGTAGTGCTTCATTAGAATGAGTGTTTCACAAGCAGCAGTGCTGTTTGATGGCCCTGAGCAGCCAGACATCCTCTGTGAGCCCCCTGTGTCCCCCTCCTCCAAAACGCCATGCGTTGTGCACTCGGAAGCCTTTATTTTCCATCGCCTTGGAAGAATCYGCAGAATGCTTTGTGAGAGAGGCCTTGGCATGACTGGAAGTGGGGTTTGGGACACCTTCCATTTCAATGTGGATCTCCAAGCCTGAATTCAGGTAGACATCTCCAGTGTCTTCCAGACTACAGTTAAGTAACCACTAACTCTATTACTGTGTCATATGGGGAGTGGGATGCAGGGGAAGTTTGAGGGAGCTTCAAGGAGGACTGGGGTCGATTTGGGAAATGAGCTGGAGGAGACGGTGCCAAGATCAGCTCTGTGCCGCTTGGTCTGCTTGGATTCCCGGCGCTGAGAAGACCCGTTGGCAGCAAGTTTTATGGCAAATCAATAGGCGTGGGAAGCTGTGTCCTCTCCTTTCAGCCAGAGCGCAATGCGGCAGGGYGCTTTGGGGTTAGATAATGCGAATTCTGCACAAAACTCCACCTGCTGAGCATCAGCGAGGAGGCTTGTCARAAAGAATCATGGAATCACAGAATCCTTAAGGTTGGAAGGGACCTTTAGAGGTCATCTAGTCCAACCTCCTGCACACACAGGGACACCCAGAGCACATGGCACGGGCTGTGTCCCAGGAGGTTGGGAAGATCTCCAGAGAAGGAGACTCCACAACCTCTTTGGCAACCTGTTCAGGTGCTACAGAGGACCATGTGGTGCTCGGTTGTGCCTCTCCCACAACAGCYTTTGTTCAGGTGGCTCCTTTCTACTTTCTGGCTAGCAGTTAAAAAGCAGCTCTGCAAAGCTCAGCGTGACCTGAAGGCTCTAACCTGCTTGTGGGTTCTAATCTTCACATCTCATAGTGGTTCTGAGGTGGATACAGGTTTCTCTACTAGTTTCTAGTTTTCTAGTTTCACATCTAGAGGATTTGTTCCCAACTGCAGGTGGAAGAGAATCTAAAGTCAAACTCGCTCTTAAAACTCCTTGTTCTAGTTAAAACATGCTCGTTTTCTCTTATTTTGCTTCAAAGCTGAACAAAGAACCAAAGTGTAGCTACCGAACTGAGTGTGGAAAAGTAGTATTTAAAATGTAGATATTAGCCTGACTTCCTCTTAACTGCTTTTTGTGTGGCTTTCCTCCAAGTTTCCTTGCTCCTTTTAGGTCCTTGCTGTGGTGTGGCTTGTTTTTGAACTTGGAACGAGCTAGTCTATGAAATGAACTGCTTGAATAAGCTTAAAGGGAAAAAAATTCCTTCCTTCTGCACCTGCTGGAAAGGAGTCTTTTGGTTGAGGTCTCACTCCAAGCGCGTAGCTCCTGGCTGCCGCTGGATCTGATGGCTTCGCTTTTCCCGGGATTTCACAGCGGACACGTCCTGCTTGGATACTTAAGACTGGCTTGAAGCAGGTAGCAAGGCTCAAATTGAGTCTACTTTTAAAGTGTGATTTTTAAAAAAGGTTTTAAGAATAAATGCAAGCTTGAGATCATCTTGCAAAAACTTTTTTTTTTCTTTTCTTTTTTTTTTTTTTCTGCGTTTGCCTGAATTGAAAAAGCTGAGCTGCCGTTTTAGGCACGTGATGCTGCTCAGAGCTGTGTCTATCTCTAGGTCTCCAATTAAGAGCTGGGGTGTGTGGACCTGCTGCATGGTCTCCTGTCTGATCTGGTCTGGCAGCTCCAGGGCTTCCTAGTTAAGGTGAATCCTGACTGCTGAGGCCTGGCAAAGCAGGCAGTGGCTTTCAGGGAGTCCAGTGCCGTGATAACTGCTTCACGGCAGGGTTTTAAGGCACGTGTGGGGGGCTTTGGGTTCGGATGCTCATAATTTAGACCCTTGCACCTTATCCATTAATACTTGGCAGTAGTGGCAGTAACTTGGAAGGAAAATGCAATGCAGGGGCTGTGTTGCTTGTGCCAACAGTGCGGTTTGTCCACAACCAGACCTAGGCCGCTGCCTCCTCACTAAAAAAGCAAATTTTCTGCCAGGATGAGCCCATCTTTTGAGCTCTTCTGCTATACGTTAATGCTGCTACTGTCTAAAACAGATGTGTTCCCTGCACTGTATAAAACCCCCCAAGCCCCCATACCTTTCAAAAGCGTTAGCTGCCACTACCCCTAAAGCTGTCACAGGCTGCAGTGCATGGCTCAGAGCCCAGGAGACCTCCCCCGTGAGCCCGTATTTTCCTTTTCCTTTCCCTTTTCTTAYGAGTGCAGCCGCGTTCGGAGAGGGCAGCGGGATGGACAGCTCGGCGAGCGCGATGCATCCCGCTGCCAGCGCTGACTCCTTCYCCCTGCTCGTGCACAGAGCCGTCTGCTTGGGTGTGGCTGCAAAAAAAGCAAAACAACAAGGCTGGCTTTGAGGTTTCCTCTTCTGTTTTGCTTATTTGTGCATCCGTGTTTCGGCTCTTGAGCTGCGCCCGGCTCTGCGGAGCTAACCCGTGCGCTGACGGGCCCTCYGACAAGGAGCCACCGTGGCTGAGGAGCACACAGTGGGTATGAACAGGCAGTAAGTACCTCTGTGCTCACCCAGATGCTGATTTTTTAGGCTCACGAGCACAGCTTTTCACTGCTTGCCCAGTAGGAGTTTGCCAGGAGCTTGTTGGCTTTAATAGACTGTTTCAGCTCTTTTCCACGCACGAGCAGTGAGAGGAGGGGAAGCGGCACGGGAGGTTACGCCTGCCCCAGCTCAACAATTTTTCCTGGTGGCTTTCCTGCTTGAGCTAACTCATTCCTGYAGTCTTTTTTTTCTCTTGCTTTTTATCCTGTTTTTTTTCCCTCCTGTTGTGCTCTGCAGAGGAGGCTGCAGGTGGAGCATTGGGGGCAGCTCTGGGCTCCCCGGGACAAGGGGGACGTGGAGCTGCTGGAGAGGGGCCAGCGCAGAGCGACAGGGATGGGGAAGGGGCTGGAGCAGCTCGTGTGAGGAGAGACCGAGCGAGCGGGGCCTGTTGAGCCTGGAGAAGAGAAGGGGGAGAGGGATCTGATCAACATGGACAAACACCTGAGGGGAGGATGGAGGGAGGAAGGGGCCAAACTCTTCTGGGTGGTGGCCAGTGCCAGGACAAGGGGCAGTGGGGACAAGGTGAAGCCCAGGCAGCTCCGTGTGGCYGYGAGGAAGAWCTTGTTTGGTGTGAGGGTGCCCGAGCCCTGGCCCAGGCTGYCCAGGGAGGCTGCGGAGGCTCCTGCTCTGCAGATCTTCCCAAGGCGCCTGGATGCGCCCGGGTGCCCCGTGCTCTGGGTGTCCCTGCTGGAGCAGGGGCTGCGCTGGGGGATCCCTGGGGGTCCCTTCCAACCTCAGCCATCCTGTGGCTGAGGACTCTAGTGAGACTCATCTGGAATATCTAGTGACTTTCTTTGCAGCATGTTTCTCCTCCGGACACTTGCCTCACATTGCGTAGGGAATCAGTCACGTGTGCGAAGAGGCGAGTAAATGTGCAAAAAGACTAGTTTTAGTTAATGAAAAAAATTGTCCAGCCTTCTTAAATGGTGTGGTTGAGTTTATTTGGGTGTGTATACAGTCATGTTTCTGCGATACAATCCCTGCTGAGTCTGAAAGGCTGCTGTCGGGACAGCCAGACAAAAGCTTGGATAAAAGTCAGCGTTTCAGAGCCTCTTCCTGATGGTTCGTGAGAACGTAATGATTTTGCTTTGGACTTTTAATTTTCATAAAACACTTGGCGTGTGTTTTCTTTATATGTGACTGTTTGTGCATGGATGTTTTGCATCATGTTTGGGGATCTGTATTTTACAGCACCTGAAACTTGAGAAACATTGATAGATGTTGCTGAGTTGTTTGCCTCTGTTTCACGATTGCAGGTGGTGGTATTAGCGGCCGTTGTGAATTAATGGAGGTGGTTTTTAATTAGGAAACTCTGCTGGCTGCTGCCTGGCTTTGTGAATTAGTGGGCCACGGGACGTGCTTCGTCCCCCGGCTTTGCCAGGGCAGGCCTTGGTCTTCTCGGTCCGACACGTTTCTGCGTTGTGTGCAGTTCAGCACATATTTCACAAAGAGTGGAATGTGTTTATATAATATTTTATATATTATTTTAGGCTCCTGCTTACTCAAACGTAGGCAAACGGTTGGTTAACCTCTCCTTTGCCACCGCGCATGGCTGTGAAATGGCTGTAGCCAACGTGTTGGGTCCGCGGGACCTAACCCCCCTGTGTGTCTGCTGGGAAAGCCACCCTGAAACCCGCTTCCAACCAACCAACGTGGCCTCGGTGGGGCTTAGAGGTGGTGTCGAGTAGGAAGCCACGCTGAGTGAACGTTGATGTACTGAATCGTGCCAAATTGGAGCGAGCTGGGGTCGCAGCTTGGCGCTCTGCGTGCCCAGGGGGCCGTGCGGGCCCTCTCGGCAGGACAAGCTGCCTTGGCCCCTCTCTGCRGGCGCTCGGGCTCGGCCATGCCCTCTTTCCAGGGCTCTTCCTCCACGTCTCTTCTCGCTCTTACGTCCAGCCCCAAGGCCGCGGCTCCCTCGCGGCCGCCGCGCGTCGATTCGGTGGCAGCGGCGCCTCGGCCCAAGGCCGGCGTGTCGCAGGCGGGACAGCCTCGCTCCGGCCCCTCCGCGTCACGACCTGCGTGCGGGAATGACGCGAGCGCACCAAGCTCTTCCTATTTGCACACTGTATATATATATATATATTTAAAATATAGAAAAAATATCTCTGTAGTATATTTTATATATATTATAAATGCAAATATATTTTTTAAATATGTAGATAACCCTCTCTTGTTGTTTTGCTCTTGCAGAAGGAGACGGGCGCCTCCGGTCCCCGCTGTTGACTCACGCGATCCCCTTGTTCCCCCCMTGTCTCTGCAGCCTGCAGGCAGCGGAGCCCCGGCGCTGCCGCGGGGCCCGGCGAGCCCGCGCCGCCATGGACTGGCAKTGACGGCGCCGCGCCGGCCGCGCTCGGGACCATGAGGAGCTCCTGCAGAGCCGGCCTGCACAGGGACCCGCTCGGCGCCCCGGCCTTCCTGCAAGCGAAACGGTACGAGCGGCGCGACGGCCCCAGGGGCCTCCGAGGCTGCCCGCGGTGCCGCGCGCGCCCGTGCGCTCGGGTCTTGCTTTCGGCTCCGCGTCGCTTCCCCGGTGAAACCCTGTAATGGCTCAAGGGCAGAGATGTTCCCTGGYGTTTTGATTTGATAGTGACAGCTTCAGATTCACTGCAGCTGGCACAGTGCTTGGAGAAGCCTTTGAGGTGGAATCAGAGAAYGGTTAAGGTTGGAAGGGACMTGTKGAGATCATCTAGTCCAACCCCCTGCACATGCAAGGTCACCCAGAGCACATGGCACAGGCTGCGTCCAGGTAGATTTTAAAGATCTCCAGAGAAGGAGACTGCAGAGCAGGAGCCTCCCCAGCCTCTCTGGGCAGCCTGTGCCAGGGCTCTGGCACCCTCACTGTCAAGAAACTTTTCCTGAAGTTCCTGAGGAACTTTTGGTGCTTCAGTTTGTGGCCATTTCCTCTAGTCCTATCGCTGGCCACGACTGATAGATATATGTATGTGTGTATATGTGTGTGTGTATATATATGTATATATTTTACTTTTTCTTTCTAGCAACATCTGTAAATTAATTTGGGAGTAGGGCTTTGAAGTAAAACTGAGCAGGAGGACAGCTTGCCATAGCGGTCTTCAMCTTACGCCGGCAGCTTAAAGCGAGCGAAGCGCTGGCAGTCGCTGTGGTGCTCTGCCTTGCTGCACAGTGAGTAATTAGATTAGTTTTAGCTTATATTCTGTATTGCTCGCGCTCCTGCGCCGCCCCTTGATAAGAAATGCACGGTTGGTTTTGAGCACTTGTGCTTATGTGGCAATTAAGCGAACGCCTCTCACTGCATCTTGTTATAGGAACACTGCACGGAACAATGTGTCCTTATGCAAATGCATGAACATGCCAGTTTGAGCTCAAGCTACTCAAAAAAATTAAATATATATATATATATTTTTTTTTCTGAAATTAAGACTGCTATGCTTCCTCTGTGTGGAGGAAGGGAGCCAGCTCTCTGGTTTCCTGAGGCTGTGTGGGTTTAAAGCAGACATTAACCTTTGCTCTCTGTGGTTGGGTAGACAGCGCGGGCTCGCGACGTTCGTCTGATAGTAATTTAGCCCTGGAAGAGACTTGCTGGGTCAMCCGGCCTCTTGCTTTCCCAGGCGATATCTCCCGTAAGCTGCTTTTGTAAACGTGCAGCCTGGCCCCAAAGCAACCACGTGTTGCCCCTCTCCTGTCCTAGATCAAGCTGTTTCTCAACGTGGCAGATSTATCTGTACAGGTAGAAGCTTTCTGTTTCTGTTGCTTGGTGTTTGGTTCCTGCTCGGCCTTCCTAGCACTGCCGCTGCTGTATTTGTGCTGAGCTCCCTCTGGCTTCCAAAGCCCATGCAACTAGGACACTGTATGTGTCCTTCAGAAAGATCATTTCCCTCAAGGTTCTTCAGGATAGTCCTGTGTGTTGAACTCTCCCCTCTTTGCTCTGGGTCTCTGTGACCCTCTCTGGTTGCAAAATGCCTTTTTTATTCCAGGCAGCTAGAGGGCTGTGAGCTCTCCCCTGTGCTTTTTCTCCCTCGCAGTGTCACCTTCAATATGTGTGACACATTCACTTAACCCATTCAAAAATAGTTGCCTCTCCAGAGGTTCAAAATTCCTGCTTCTTGGCCCGTAATTTGTGAATCTTGCCTAGTTTGGATTCCAAAATTGACATGAGCTCCTCTTTCTATTTGCACGAAGCTTCTTGAGGTCCCTCCCACTTATTTTTGGTCACTTCCACATTCCTGTTCAAATTAACCCCTGGCCTTTTGCCCTCGCGGTCAACCCCTCTTCACAAGCAAAGCAAACTCCTAAATTGAGTGTTTTGAGGTCTACCAAGGGTAGTGCTGACCTCTGCCCTGACCTTGCTCACGACCCTATTTGCCCTCCGTCCTTTCTCACAAACCAACCAACCTTTTGCTGTTGCTTTCCAGGGACCAACACTTCCCCAGTTCTCACACTTATTCCTAGGCATTTGGATATCTAGGATTAAAATTTCGCAGGTGATCTGAGGCCTCTGCGAGGCAATGATATGTTGAGMTGCAGTTTCTTCTGCTCCGCTGTGGGATGTGCTGGAAATGCCTTTCCATGCCTGGAAAACACCTCCTGGCTGGAGGTGTCTGCAGGGAAACCCTCTGTACCTCCATTGAGCTGAATTGGGGAACCGGTTCCTGTAGGTCTTGAGTTTTGAAAGAGCAACCCCATGCTTTGCCTGCAGACCTGTTTTTGCTGATTCCCTGTCTTCAACTTTGAGYCTCCTTGTCACGGTTCAGGCCAGGGTTAATTCCTGCTGCCTTKCCTACTTTCTCATCAAGTCTGTACAAAGGTGGCCACTGAATAGTGTCACTTTGTGCTGGTTCGTTAGCTGTCCAGGGAAGAAAAGTTGGCCACGGTGCCCGAGAAGATCTTGGCTGTGTTGCAGTTAAATTAGAGAATGAATGTTAGGGAAGGTAAGGTCCCCAGAAGGAAATGCATCACCCTTTCTGTAATATTGGGAATCTCTGGTCAGCTCTGGCTCTGGAAACCTGCCACCACCTCTTCCTTCTTGCTGCCTTCCTCCTCCTCAGTGTTTCCTGGGGCAGATTTATCCATCCGATTCCCTCTCATTTAGTTCAAAGGCAGATAAGACAGGTGGGAGCCCTTAAATGTGAGYATGCGTAGCCTGTGTGTAAAGCTTGGCTGCAGAAGCTGTTGTTGGAAATCTCAGCTGGGGGAAAACCTGGGATCTGGGCACGATTTGTAGCTCCCGAGTRTGGCTGTATCCATGGGGCAGCCTCCTGTGTTCCCCCAGTGGGGTTACTGGAACATCCCGTGTGGCAGGGGGGGCCCTGGGGGTTCCAGCATTAAGTTTCGGGTGCCTATAGAGCGCCTATAAAGTCAGAGCTGCCACGGGCACTGTAAGCCAAAGCCAGGCCTGCCAAGGGGATTCCTGTGTAGCCCGGAGCCTCTCCGAGCTTGGCCACACGCCCGAGCAAACTGCAGGGAGAAGCAGCACTGTCCACCCTGCATCTATCCCACCCCATGAAGCCCGGGAATGCCTTTGAAGCCATGGTCTCTGCAGCGTGCACGGAGCCGGCATYGGCCCGGAGAGCAGGTCCGGAGCATCCGCCATCCAGGAACAACCGGTGCTTGATTGGAGCATAGTGCTGCACCTGGCTCTGCTTCTCCTAACTGCCYGTATCCCTGATGCTTCCAGCTTCCCAGATGGAGCAGCGGGTGCCAGGGAGGAGAAACGTCTTGCCAGAGGTTAAGCGTGAAGTGGGTTTTTATTATTGCTAGTTTTTCTTTTTTCTTTCTCTGCTCATATCTGTTTACTGTGTCCCAAGGGCTGGYGCAGCACCAGCGCCTTCCGCAGCCTGCAGCTCACATTTCCAGAAAGAAGTTCCCAGGAAATGCAGGTCTTGGGATGGAAGTGCTGCTGCCCTGCCCGGAGAGCTTTCAGTTTGGATGCTCAGGTTGATTGTGCTTTTTTTGGTGGTGGTTTGTGTGTTTGATCTTGATAGCTGGGGAAATCGCTGCATTTCATAGGGCACTGTGGGAATCTCCTCAGCCCGGAGCATGGAGGCRATTCCTGGAAAGAGTAGCCAAAACTCCCATCTTTCCTTCCAGCTTTTGCTCATTGGGATTTCCACTGAAACAAATATGTTTAGGCCACTGTGATTTTGAAGATGCAAATGCAAAAGGATGCAGAAAGGTCCTGATCAACTCAGGAGTACAGTTTATGGGATTTTATTTTGGTTGGGAAAACAGGTATGCGTGCACACCTCTACATGCATAGATTTCTTTATCTCTCAGCTCAATCTTGATAAAGCCATAGTGTGAAAACAAGCCACGGTTGCAACTTGTGCAAACAGCAAGCTCATTCCAGAAGCTCAAGTGTCCTGTTTTTCCTGTGTGCCCAAGACACCGTGGATTAGCACTGGGAAAACCATCCCTTTTATTTCCCTGGCTTAATGATGGCATAGCTGTTTAAAGGACAGCACTGCTAGTTGTTTTCCTGCTGCTGATTCTTGGCAGAGCTGTCTCTTATCAGCAATTCAAAACTGTGCTTTGGGAATCAAAAGCCTCCTGTGTTTACTGCATGAACTGCTCCAAAGTTATTGTCTCCACAGATAAAATTAGATAGTTTGATAACCTATCAAAAGGAGGAAAGCAAACAGAGTTATTCTGGTGTTAAGTGTCAGAGGGAATTGTCACCAACTTTACCTTTTTAAGCTATCTTTAGTGTTTTTAAATATTAAAACCTTGCTGCAGCTGCTGCAGTTCTCGCTCGCAGGCGCTGAGGTGTTGCAAGGGGAGATGGGCTGTGGACTGGGCCCTGCTTCATACTGAGAGCAGTTTCTGCTCCAGCTCCAGCAGTGAGGACTGAAACCTGCTCCTGATTCCATGCAGGAGAGAGGCCGAGTTACTTGTCCAAAACCTTTTCCTTGTTACCTCACAGCAAAGTGGGTATCAGGGCAGGGGGAGCTTGTTTTTCCAAGCAACACTTTCAGGTAAGGTCCACTGCAAAAATGCCTTTTGAAAGGAAGTTCTCCTCTCTGCTGCCCAAAATCTTGGAGGCAGGTGGCACTAGATGCAGTTGGTCAGAGGGAATTAGCAGTGCTCCTTTGTAGCCCTCCGAAGCCACTAAAGGGAGGTTTTCTTTAATTCTGGATCCATTAAAATGGTACAATGAATTGAATGCTGAATTCAAATGAGGCAGTTATTCTGGCAGGACAACTTCTGACTAAGGCATAAGTTTGTTATGTAAATTATAACTTTTCAACCTTAAATAGTGTTGTTGGCTTGGCCGGAGACTAACCGAAACGCGGCGGGGAAATACAACCTTAAATGAGAAACCTGCAGTAGGTGAGGCCTAACTCTCCCCTTTGTCTTTCTCCACGGAGCAGAAATAGCTCTGAGCAGCTGAACCAACTTTGCTGGCTGAACGTGTCCTCTCAGCGTGTTGGAGCAACCAGCCCGGTCCTGTTCTCCTTCTGGTCTCGCCCTCCTCTGCAGTTCCCCCTAATGACAAGTGTTGAGCTGATTGTGCTGCCGGATTCCTGAAACCACCCCGAGAAAGTCTTGGAAAACGGAGGCAGGTYGGCTTGCAGGCACCCCGGGGTGGAAGACTTGTAGGTGAAACGGGATCTCCTGCCCCTTGCTGGGCGTTTCCAGGGTGTGAAATTGTTGAGTGTTTTGCAGAACCACAGAGCCATGGAATGACTGAGGTTGGCAGGGATCCCTAGGGATCCCCCAGCGCAGCCCCTGCTCCAGCAGGGACACCCAGAGCACGGGGCACCCGGGCGCATCCMGGCGCCTTGGGAAGATCTGCAGAGCAGGAGCCTCCACAGCCTCCCTGGGCTGGGCAGCCTGGGCCAGGGCTCGGGCACCCTCACACCAAACAAGTTCTTCCTCACGGCCACACGGAGCTGCCTGGGCTTCACCTTGTCCCCACTGCCCCTTGTCCTRCTTGGTTGTACCCGCCTCGCAGATGAGTCTGGGATGCAGACAGGAGGACCATGAGCACCRTTCTCTGCAGCAGCTCGTTGCACTGATTTGCCTGCTTCTCATCAGGGCTGCTCTCGTCCCAGCCCGGTGAGCCAGAAAGTGCAACAGAGATGAGGCAGATCCTCTAGAAAATTAGGCTGAAGCAGAACACAGCACCCCCCTTGTACCATTCTCTCTAATCATCTCTTTTGGCWTCCTACCTTGTATTTCATTTCAGATCATTGCAGTCTTAGGAAGGAAACTCAGAAGGAAATCAAAATAGCTCGGTTGCATTTTGGAAAGCAGACTGAAGCAGGAGGTGACCCAATTCCAAGAAGAGCCGGAATTAACACRTGCGTGGGGAGAGTGACTAACCCAGGGACCAGGACTAGGGATCTGTGTCCGCGGGAGCTGTCTTGGTGCGCAGTGTAGGAGGAGCGCGGGTGGCTGCGGTTGTGGAGGGCGACGTGGTGCCCGTGGTGGCCCTTGCAGGGCCAGGAGCATGGCAGCCTTTGCTCTCTCCACCTTCTGGCCTTCAAAGCGCTGTATGAGGCCAGGGGAACTCCTCGCTTCTGTGCACGCTCGCACAAGGGTGAGCTGAGGCCTTCCCTTTGATGTTCCTTGCCCAGCCTCCCTGCTCAGACTTGCTGTTCGTCCTCTCGCCGTTTGTCGCCGGGGCCGGGAGGAGGAACCAGAGCTTCAAAGGAGGCCAGTGGTGAAACAAGGCGTCTCCTGCAGCGCGAGAGGCTTCCCCGGCCTCCTGCTGCRCTCTGCTCAGCTCTCCCTCCTGCTCTGGCCCTAACCCACAGGCTCCAGGCCTGGCTGAGAGGTAACAGGGCTCTTGAGAAGCTACTTGGTCCCCAGGCTGCCCAGTTCCTCGTGTGGCTTTTCCGTATCCACCACCAGCGACCTCCCTCGTGCAGCCTCTCGGCAGCTGCGTGTCCCGCTCCCATCGCGCCTGCTGGGGAAGGGTCTGCTTGACCCCTTGGCCTCATCTTTCTAGGTAAAGACTCCTCCTCTGCATTAACTGCAGCTCTTACAAACTTCCCAACTTTGTAGCCTTTATGGCTTGGCGCTTTGAATTAAAATTGCTAAATCTGAAATACAAAAAAAAACCCCTGCTTTGGTGGGAAACCCACTTCAGTGCCTGAGCTTGTTCGTGTTTGCATCATTAGGATGAATGTGGCGTTGAACTTGCTGGTGTTAAACCAACAAGCGTGGATTATCCCTGTGTCGGAAAGGAGCCTTTTTATCATAGCAATGCAAAGATTGCCATGGAAATGTGATCTATAGATAGTGCCATAATGTGCTTATGTGATGGTGTGGGGAGAAGAGCCGCGGACCTCCTGATAACTGGATCCCACGTGGCAGCGGGATCCCACGTGGCAGCGCCCTGGGCTTTGGCATTGGAGCTGTGAGTGGAAAGTGACTCCCGAGGAGGAGCAGGACTGGGAAGTGARTGCCTGGGAGCACTGGGCAGGCGCCGTCACTGCTGGGGTGTCACCGGTGTCCAAGGGTCCTGGGGTCGTTAAATCCTTGGGCATAAAAAATACTTGCTTGGAAGTGGTTTCTCTGCAGTAGCATCCGATGTGGCTGCAGTTTTTTCCCCCTCCTTTTCTTCAGCTCTCTTATATAACACAGTTTCCCTTGGGGCCAAATTTTCCCTTGTATTACAGGATAAATTTCATTTTGGGTGTTAGTAGCGGACTATGGGATTGCTTCTCTTGTGGAATTGCTGTTAATGAACGTGACCACAACTGCTCCCTTCCCTGTTYAGCTTTACCCATTCCTGGTCTGTAAGTGGTAGCTGCTGCCAGGCTCAGGGCTTTGACCCACGTGTGCCTTAGGGCTGGATTAAGGAGTGAATGGACCAAAGGATTGCACTGGCATGAACAGGTAGCTATAGTTGTGCTGTGAATATAACTTAAAATAGGAAAAAAAGGGCTTGGAAACTTACTTGTCTCATGGGAAGTTCTTGTAGGGCGTGAGGAGAAGCCGTGGGCAGGAAGGGGCTTCTCCTGTGCCCGGCCTCCTTCCAGCCCGCCGCCTTCCCCAACTCTCATCCCTTCCCTTTCTGTTTCTCTAGGGTCTCTGGGATGCACCTAAAGCCATATCTCAAGTTACAGAAGAAAGAGCGATCTCCAGAAATAAGCCAGGACTCGCTGCGAAGCCCCCCTATGAGCCATCAGCGAGCCCCCCAAGAGGAAAAATACGCCGACAGCTGCACCAGACTGAGYGCTTTCCCCAGAGCCGCCCTCGTGCCTCCATCCCGAAAGCTGCTGGGACTTCTTTATCCGAATACTATGTGCAATATGAGCGGGAAAGCTCCGGCAGACGGCCCGAGCGCCAGGGAGAAGAAGAGTGGCCTGCCTGCCACGATCCACCAGGGCGAGGAGGGGGACGGCCCGCTGGACGTGTGGGCCGTCGTGAAGCCGGGCAACACCAAGGAGAAAATCGCCTTCTTCGCCGCCCAGCAGGGCAGCGGCGGCAGCCGTTTCGGCCCCGTGAAGCTCAAGAGCACGTGGGATATCGACGGGCGGGCGGCGAAGCGAAGGAAAAAATCGGTGGACCTTAAAAAAGCCAAGCTGCAGCTGGAGCGGGTGCGGGAGGCGAGCGCGCGGGGCGCCCCGCCGGAGCCCTTCGCCTGCGGCATCGAGCACTGCTCCGTGCACGGCGACGGCGGCGGCGAGGGCGCCTTCGCGGGCCGCGCGCTCTCCGTGGCGGAGATGGTGGCGTTCCTGGAGCAGCGCGCGGGCGCCCTGCTGGCCGACTGCGCCAAGCCGTGCGCGCGGGCCCGCGGCGGCGGCGCCGAG